TCCTGCCCTGCAGGATCACAGACATGTCCAAGGTGTCGATGAGCAGCCGCCCAGAGCCCGGCTATGAGAACATGGATCACTTCTCCATCAATGTGGACTATGTGGCGGAGATGCTGAGGACCATCGAGTTCCAGACAGGTGCTGGTGCTTGGACAAGCACTGCCATGTTGGGGGGGACATGGGACTGCCCAGGGCGAGCAGTGCTTGGATGGGCAGAACCCTCCACTGCCTCATGTTCTATGTGGGGCTGCATCCCCTCTTGCACAGGAATGGGACATGGGGCCCCTCTGCATTGCCAAGGGACCCTTCCTGGCTCATGGGCTGCTGTGTCCCACGCCAGGGCAAGGCTCCTGCTCTGGGCTGGTCCCATCCCTCTTGGAGTGTCTCCAGGCTGCCCACACCATAGGGAGGGGGGGACCCGGCTGACCTGTCCCCTTGTGCTGCAGAGCCACTGGGCGAGGATGAGGTGGATGCGCTTGGAGATGGCAGTGAGGCTGCGGCAGATGAGGACCGGCTGGAGAGCCTGGAGGCACCTGATGCTGCAGAAGGTGAGTCCCTCCTGTGCTGTGCCATGCTGTGCCATGCTGTGCCTGGCTGCTGTGCTTGGTCCCAGGGCTGCAGGGGCAGTCGGGGCAGCAAGGCCCAGGGGCTGGGACTGCCATGCCCATGGAGGGAGGGACGGACATACCCAGTGTCCTGCCCAGTGCTGTGTCTGTGCCATGGCCTGTGTGCAGCTGTGCAGGTCCTTCAGTGTGACGGGGCCCCTGTTTCCAGTCTTGTCACCTACTTTCCTTCTGCAGATGTGGCGCCAAGGCAGAAGCCGGTGAGCTCCCCCCATGGTGAGACCCTCACTGGGACTGAGGTGGGGGGGACACACAGGGCCAGGTCATGGGGTGCCCTGGGGCAGAGGAGGCACCTCAGGGGGGACAGAAGAGGATGGGTATGCAGATGGAGGAGTTCATACTTCAGGGCTTCCCAGGGTGCCTATCTCCTTGCCTGTAGGGGCTAGAATGGGCGTCCCTGGGTCCCCACCATTGTGGGTCTGAGGCTGGTTTCCTGCACAGGTCAGCACTGAACCATGGAGCAGCATTGGCATCACCAGCTCACCCCTGCCCCTCCAGCTCTGCTGCTGCAATTCCCAAACACTGGAGCTGCCCCTCTACAACATTAAACGCGTGAGGACTTCATCTGTGGTGTTGTGTGTGGCCAGGGTGGGCACCAGGGCTGCCCCCAGGGTGGTTCCACACCAGCTCCATGGGCTCCAGCCTGGGCGCAGCCCCTGCCCCACTGAGTTGTGCCCCAGCTCCACCACCCAGCTCTGTCCTAGGACCACACAAGAGGGTCTGTGTCCCCAGGGAGCCCCAGCACGGCTCAGCTCCAGCATCCCAGGAGTGGATTGCAGCCAGGAGCTTCTCATCTCCAACCTTGTGCATGGGGCTCTGCCCCCCTGCCTACAGCCTGCAGCTGGGGGTGAGAAACTGCATCACCCTTGAGCTCTGCAGCCCCCCCACTGGACACCATCTGGGCAGCACTGTCCCCTGGGTGCACCAAGCAAACAGTGCTGGGATGAGCTGGCTGAGTACACAGCCGGGAGCACCACGATCAGTGCCGGGGCCTGTGCCCCCAGCTCCGCCGGCTGGGCACCCAGGGAGGGCCATGGTAGCGCTGGCTGCGTCACCCGCCTTGTCCTGCACAGCCATAGCGTCACAGCTGATGCACCTGATGATGCATATGGTGAGGGGCTCCTCGAGGGGCTGAGGATGGGGCTGGGCAGGTCCTCCGAAACCGGGCCACCATGGAAGTGTCCCCTGCTGCCACCCCCCTGCCCCTGCCAGGGGGCTCCAAGGACTGGCAGCTGAGACCCCAGTACCCAGCAAGCACAGGGGCCACCAAGCTGGCCAGCAACTGGGGCACAGGACACTGCAGGATGGGCCCATGGAAGCAGAAGTGAAATGTTGGCACGTGGCAGGTCCCAGTGACCTCGGGGCTGGGATGGAAACTGGGGAGCCCAGGGTTGTCCTGGCAGCAGAGAAGGTCCTAATGTCTGGGTTGTGCCAGCAGGACCCTCCCCCTGTTGCCAGCGGGTTCCTGTCCTAGTCTGGATCCACGGGAGCAAACAGGGAGACATTCAGCTGGGCTGGGGATACAGCAGGGCAGGAGCTGGTTGTGCAGCCGTAGGAGAGGAAACCCCTGAGCTGCCTCCTGGGTGTGGGGAGCTGGAGCCATACCCCCATCAGGCACAGGGACAGCATAGGAGATGGTGACACAAGCTGGGATAGAAGAAATTCCCATTGGATACCAGGAAAAACTCCTCTCAAGAGCAGAGCAATCCTTAGAAACGGGCTGGGGCATCCAGAGCAGCTTCAGCCACCCCCAGTGTGAACCCTGCTTGGGCAGGGAGGTGGGCAAGAGGGAGCAGTGCTGGAGCTGAGCCCACCACGGGCCAAGGCACCACATGTCCCCACAGACCATGTCCCAGCACAGCTCCCTCCTCACGGTCCATGATGAATTTGCTTCCACTGTGGATTCCAGCTGCAGGGCTGCTGGGGGCTCTGCCTGCCCAGGGCAGGACTTTGCACTTAAGAAGTCCCTGATGGCCCCTTCCTTGAGCCCAGCTTGGTCCCAGCTCTACCCTCAGGTACTGTTACCTGCAAACCCTGAGCAAACAGGGAACCCGGCGTGGTGCCCTGTGGCACTCAATGGCCCTGAGCAAGCAGCTCTGAGCTGTTTGCCCACCCACCAGCCCCGTGTCCCAGGGCAGGCACACAGGTTCAGCTCTGGGCTATGGGATGTCTCCATTCTCCTGCATCCCCAAGCATGTAGCTTGTGGCTGGGTGGTCAAACCTGTGGACCAGTGTGGCTGCTCCTGGCCACTGCCTGCTCCTGCGCACTATAGATAGGTGCCCCAGGTGGGCTCACATGGTCCCTGGGGACTGAGGTGAGGCTGGCTGGCTTCTCCATCACTGGGACCCTTTGGGGATGTGATATTTTCCTTTCTCCACCTCAGGAATGTCCCCATCACCTTCCAGAGATGGCCAAGAGGGGCTCACAAGGACCTTGGCAGATCCTGGGCAGCCCTGGGTGCCACTGCTGGGGTTTGGGGTATCTCAGGAGAGCCCCAGCCTGGTTCTCCTCTATTCTGGGCACTTTTCTTCCTTAAGCCCTGTCTCCAGCTATCTGTCACCTGCTTTTGCCAGCCCCAGCCTGGCTCTTGGGCAGTCCTTCACTGCCCCGGGATAGTGGAGGTGGTGGATGCTCTCCTTGACCTTGCACCCCCCTGGCTCAGAAGATGTGCCCTCTGGAATCCAGGGAAGGGGCACAGCAACGCTGAAGGGACTCGGGCAGCTGTTGCATGGGGAGGAGCTGGGACCCCTCCATCTGCAGCAGCGAAGGCTCAGGGGGCATGGAATCCATGTGTATAGTGATGGGAGGCAGGGAAGATGGAGTCAGACCCTTCCCACTGCTGCCCAGTGACAGAAACATGGACAGGGAACACAAACTGGACCACAGGAGATTCCACCAAAAGTTTTGTCCAAAGCTTTTGGTTTTGTTGTTTCTCTCTCAAAAAAAACCTTTTTTCCCTTTTTTTTTTGCCATGAGGCTGATCAAACAGGTTGTCTGGCACAAGCTGCTCAGAGAAGCTGTGAAGCCTCACTGGGGGGCAAAGGGCCTCTGGAGCTGCTTCAGCCCCACCCTGTGCTCAGGCTGGGTCAGCTGGAGTGTGTTGTCCAGGTTCATGTCCAGGCCAATACCGAGTATCTTCAAGGAAGGAGATGCTCTGAGGAACCTGCTCCAGGACAGTCTTTCTTGCCAGTACCCCCTTCCAGTTCTGCATTCCTCGCATCCAGATGGAATTTCCTCTTTCAAAGCCCGAATGGACACGACATTGAGCAACTGGCTTTGGCTGCCCTTGCCCTTGGTGGGCGGTTGGAGTGGGAGATTCCCTAGGCCCCTTCCAGCCTCAGCCACGCTCGCACCCCATGACCACTCTTTAGTTTGTTCTCAATGGATTTCCTTAGCTCCTTCATCCTTCAGAGCTACCTCTGTCCAGACCCCACCACCCAGGTCACATAAATAGTCTTGCTTAAAGTCCAAGGCTGCATGCTGCTGCCTGTGTTCCTGCCTGCCCTGGTGCCCTGGGTGCTGATCTCCACTGCTTTATGGCTGCCACTATCACATCCACAAGCAGGTCTTCCTATGCACCCTCCTGAAACCTCCTTTACTGCTCCAGTCCTGCTGTGCTGCCCTTCCTGCAGGTAGCAGGGAGCTTATCACAAAATCATCAAATCAGAGAATGGTTTGGGTTGAAGGAACTTCTAAAGATGATCTAGTCCAACCTCCCCCCATCATGAGCAGGGACATCTTCAATGAGAGCAGGTTGCCCCTGTGAGGAGCAAGGCCACCCATGAGGTGGCCAGACCTCTCCAACTGTGTCAAGAAAGCTTCATCCATGTCCTCCTCTTGCTCAGGCGTCTGAAACATGTCCTGCCCACAGTGTCCTTCCACCGATCCTCACCCCCCAAGAGCCTTTGTGGGTCTCCCCAGCTTCATGAGCCATCCCACACTGTGGAAGTGCTCTGGCAGTGGCTGCAGGGGGTTGCCACACACAGAGCTCTGGCTGCCCCAGCTTGCACCCCCAGCTGCCTTGCCTCCATGTGAGGAGTGCAGCACCCCTTTGCTCTGCTCACTGATGGTGAAGCACCCACTGCGCCCACCTCTCTGTGTCCTTCCCACTGCACCCACAGCTCCTTGCCTCAACGACTGGGGGTTCCTGCCCCCAAGGGGATGTCCCCGTGGCCCAGGGACATGCCGTGTTCCCAGTGTTCTGTGCAGCCCACCCAGCTCTGCTCCACCTAACTTCCAGCCCCTCTGAGCCCGGCCCCCGTTCCCGGCGAGTTCACCGCACATTTCCAGTAAGCCCCTATCCCCGGCCCCGCACTCACTCACGCCTCGGGTTTCCACCACGTTTTATTACAAAATCGGTGCGGGCCGTCCCGGGGCCGGTACCGCGGCCACTTGCCCCGGTGCCGAGGACGAGGCTGGTGCAGCAGGCGCAGCCTGGTGCCGGTCCCGGTGCCAGTGCTGGTGCCGGTCCCAGTCCCAGTGAGTTTTCCCGTGAGGCGCTGAGTGGCCCATGGCGGGGAGGCTGAGGCGGTGGCCGGAACCCGGAGCAGCTCCGGTGGGATCCCGGGGGGTCCCGGTACGTGCTCAGCGCCCCACGGCTTCGAGGATGAGGCGGTTGCTGTCGGCTTGGGCGCGCTGGCTCTGGGCGCGGGCGAGCAGCAGGAGATGCCGCAGGAGGTGGAAGGTGAGGTCGATGGAGAGCGGCGGCTCGTCCCGCCTCGCCCTCCACGGCTCCGGGGCTGGCGGCACCATGGGCGGCCAGAGTGGGCGGCCCCGAGCCTCGAACGCGGCCGCCGGGACGGAGCCGTCGGGGCGGGCTGCGGCTGGTGGCGGGCGGACGAGCAACAGCAGGAGGGTGAGCAGCGCCCGCCGCATCTTCGGCTCCGTCCACACCTGCGGGATCGGAGTCTCAGTGTAACTGGGAGCGACCGGGGGCACCGGGGCGGCTCCAGGGACCCGGGGATCCGAGGGGAGTAATGTACCCGGCTGCGAGAGGGTACCGGTCCCACCGCGGAGCCGTCCCGAAGGCGGTGCCCCCTTCCCCTGCCTCCCGCACCATCCCATACGCGTTGTGCCCTCCCCGGTCCTCTGCACCGGCGCTGCCCTCGTCCAGGGCGCCGACCCGTACCCTTCACGGGCCCGTACCCTGCGCGCGGTCCCTGTGCCCTGCCGGTGCGGTGCCGGTGGAGTGGAGTGCGATCCGTCCCGTGGGAGATGAGCCGGCGGCGCGGCCGGTGCTTATATAGGACCGGGAGCTCGGGCTGACGTCATCGCCGGGCACGCATTAGACCGGCGGGGGGCGGGGGGTGAGGGGCACCGGGGGGGTGGCGGGGAGCGGGGTGCCCGACAGCGGCAGCGAGCGCCGGGGAGGAGGGACAGGGGCTGCGGGACGGGGAGGAGGTGGAGGGGTGGGGCCGGGCGGCCTCCCCAGTCTCGGGGGCCGCGACCCTAGTCCCGTTCTGGAGCCCACCCAGAGGGGCGCAGAGGAGCCGGTGCTGGTGCCGCAGGTGCCCTGGCCCGGGAGCCGCAGAGAGTGTTGGTTCTCGGTCCTCCGGCTCCTTTTCCCGCCGCTGTCTCTCCCTCCCTCACCTGCTCTCCCGTCCCCGGTGCTCGCGGTGCCGCTGTCCGTGGTGCTGAAGTGCCGGGACGCGCCGGGAGACAGTGGGCCGGGGCCCCATGGGACTGGCAGGGCTCCGGGGCCGATAAGCCGGGCCGGGCCTTGGAGCGGATGACCCGCGGCATGGGACCCTCAGGGCGAGCCAGACCAGGCTGCGACGTCCTGGGCAGGCACAGGGTGCGACGGCGGGACCGGCTGTAGGAGGGGGTGTGGGTGACGAGGACCCGGCCACCAGCACCCACGGCACCAAACGGGCACGGGTGGGGCATCCATCCCGGCAGTGTCGGGACCGGTGCTGCAGACATCTCGAGCGCAGCAAGGCACCACCGGCCAAATCCTGTGACTCATAGAGCGAAGGCATCGGAGCAGGCAGCGCTGTGCTGCATGCAGGATGTTCCAGCGCGGGGCACCGGCCGCCGCTGCCAAACAGTGAGGTAGCTGCCGGTGCACCACACTGTTGCCGGCAGACCCCCTGGCAGCACTGCGGCCCTGCCTGGCAGACAGATGCATCTGCCTGCAGGTCGAGGGTACCAAGCTGCCACCCAGACCGGGGCAAAACTGCTCCTGGAGTGCACTCTTTCCACAGTGCCAGTGTTGGGCAGAACCTCAAGACAGAGGATCAGACCTGATTGAACAGTGCAGGATCAGTGCATCCCGCACTGAGCAGCAAAGAGGTGGTGGGGCACAGCCCTGCCCTCAGCAAGGTAGCACACGGTGCCATGCACTTGTGACACAGATCTGGTGTGAAGGCTGGCATCCGGCACCACCTCCCTGTGGCTCCAGGGCAGAGCCCTCAGCAGGGGCTGCCCTCAACCCCTGAGCCCTGGCAGCCCCTGTACCATGGCATGGCTGCTTCTGAGGACAAGGGCTTGGCTTGTGCCATGCCCACAGTTCACTCACTGCTAACACACCAGGGCTGTGAGAGGCTCAGCACATCGGGGCTGCAGACTCCTGCCATATGCAACCTCTGACCAGGAGCACCCACTTCATAGGCTGGGGGAAAGCTGGGCCAAGCCCTGCAGCCCCGGTGCTGTCTCTGTACAGCCCCAGCTCTGCAGCCAAGTTCTGATGCATCCTTGGGGTGCTGAGGGCTGGGCAGGCTCTGGAGCTCCATCTCTGGCAGCGTGCACCAGATCCTGTGCGGGTTTCAGCTCCTCTGTTCTTGGGGTTGTGGCAGGTTGGCCAAGGGGGTCAGGGTTCAGGCCCCTGAGTGAGGCTTAACCATTGTGGTTCCACCAGCTCTGCTCTGGAGACCCTGGTCAGGATGTGCCAGGCAGGGCACCTCGTGAGCCAGGTCGTGTCTGCTCACTACATATGTGGGATGAATCCAGATGTGCATCTCCACAGGCAGCAATGCAGGCAGGCAGTGGTGGCATGGGACTCCTCACAGGCAGGACAGGTAGGCTGGTCTTGGACAAGGCATAGGTATATGTGGCCCAGTCTCAGCCCTAGCTCCAGCCCTTGCCCAGACCCTTCCTGTATCCTCCCTGCTATCCACAGCCTTGCATGGAGCATGCCAGGAGCCCCTGGAGGATTCTGCGCCCAGAACTTGTGCCCCTAGGTGCAGCTCACCCTGTCCCACTGCCCAGCAGTGGAGGCATCATCACATCCTCCAAACAGCTGTAGCAGGACCTGGGGACCCCCTAAGCCACCATACACCCCTTCTCACTGAGACAGCCAGGATAGCCCCCCTTCCTCAACCTGCTCTGCTCAGCACAGTGCCAGTCTCACACTTGGCTCCTTAGGGATGAAACAGAGCGTGGAGCTGTCAATCATCTGCCCCAAGACTCTGCTTAAGCTGCCCACCCCACGGGTGGGCAGAGGGGACAGCAGAGGGGACAGCAGAGGGGACAGCACGGCAGAGGGGACAGCACGGCTGCAGCAGCTCCCCAGGCACTGGAATGATCATCCTGAAACGGCTTCTGTGCAGCCCCCCTGTGTGAGACGGGACGGCCACATGCTGAGTGTCACAAGAACCACAAGTGAAAACCACTGTTTATTTGGTGCTCCAACTGTCTGAGCCACAGCAAACCCTGCCCTCAGGAGGAGTATGCCCAGCCTGTGGCAGCAGGTGCTGCAGGGCTGCAGGCACAGCGCAAACAGCCTGGGATGGGGCAGCCCCTTGGCAACACCATCCCCAGCTCCAAGCGGGACAGTGCACAGCACAGCACCTGCACCAGCACCCACCCAGCGCTGCTCCCGCTTCTCTGGGGAAGGACAGAGCAACGCCCATGGCAGGCTCACCCCGTGTGGGGTAAGGGGCTGGGGAGAAGAGTGAGCACAGGCGGTGAAGCACGCTGAAGGCAGAGCTGCTGTATCCAGAGCAGTCACTGACCCATCTTGAGGTGTCCCTGGAGCAGCAAGGGCTGTAGCTGTGAGTGATGGGGGTTCCAAGGAGAGCGGTGGACGGCTGCTGCCAGCATCCTGCGTATCCCAGCCCCAGATATGGGCCTGTTCCAAGGGCTCTGGGGGTGCAGCAGGGTCAGGCAGCATGCAGGCAGGGAGGGGACATGGCTTCCACCTCACATCCGATTTGCTTTCCAGGACAGGTAGCAGTTCCAGACAATAGCAACGCACTGGACGACGGCAAGCCTAGGGACAGAGGGGACAGGGTCCACAGCCGCAGGTTCTGGGAGCCCAGGAACCAGGGCCATGGCTGCGTTACTACCTGTGCTTCAGGGGCACGAAGTAGAAGTTTGCAATTTGTACCGGTGGCCAGATCTGTGCAGAGAAGGAGGCAGCGGTGAAGGGGCCCTGCCAGTGCCCCTGCCCCGTGACCAACTCTGCCCAGGCATTTGGGGTGTCCAACCAAGCCCACAGCAGCATCCAAGGCAGGGGACAAGGACAGGACCATGAAGGAGCTCAGCTGGGGGCACAGCACTTACACAGTAGTTGGTCAGCAGGGCATCTGTGTAGTCCTAGGAGAGAAGGGGGACCGTGAGTGCTCAGAACAGCTCTGCTGCTGCACAGCCCCACTACATAGCTGCCCACAGCCCCAGCAGTAGTGGCCATTGGCACAGCTCCAGGGAGGCCCCAGCACTGGCAAGAACAGTGCAGGATGGCCAATGTCCCCTGTCACATTCCCTCAACTTCATGCCTGCTCCAGCTGGGCACAGGGCACTGCAGCCCCTGCACATGTGGGGTGGCAGGGAGAGGGTGGCCACAGCTACTGTCTCTTCCTGCTGCCAACATGGCCTTTAGTGCCACAGCCAGGCCTCCACATGCTGCCCTGCCTGGGCAAGCCTGGGAAGAGAGCAGGGGCAGGCATGGGGCAGTGTAAGGTGCAGAGAGGGCAGGTGGCGAGCTGGGCACCTGCAGCAGACTCAGGTCTCTGTGTCCCCCAGTCCCCCTCCCAGGCACCATGAGGCAGGGATGGAACCGGGGCAGTGCCCTGGGAGCCCGAGGCACTGCCCTGTCCTCGTGCTGCAGCTCTACCCCACGGCAGCAGGATGAGTCCCTCATCAAGGCTGGCTGTGACTCAGCCAGCAGCCCGGTCTCCTCCCGGCACTGGCCAGCAGCCCAGGATGGGGAGAGAAGGCACAGGGGTGATGGATGCTCTGCTGACGCTTCCTCTGCGTGGAGAGAGACGGATGTACCCCAAGCCAGGGGTGAAGGAGGCTGCCAGCCACCACTGCCCGGCCCCAGCCCAGCCCCTTCCCAGGGCAGGAGCCTGCTCAGGAGCCATGGATCAGGGAATCACACACCACTATGCCCAGGCACCAGTGGGTTTCCCTGAAGGGGGGGCCAAGATAAGATACATGGCACCACTTGGCTGAGGTGCAGTTGGGGTGGGTGGGAACACTTTGGGTGCCTCATCCCATGGCTGGTGGTCACCAGCTTCCCAGTGACTCACGCTCTGGACATGCTGACTCAGCTTTTGCACTGATTTCCAGCAATTACTGCTAATGGGAGCCATCTCCATAATGGCTCTGGAGATGCCAGGAGAGGGGCCTGATGGTGAGCTGGGTGGCACCAGGTGGGACCCAAAAGCCATGCCACAGGGAACCACTCTGACACCAGCACCCAGCAGACCAGCAGCACAAGGCACCCATCACTGTGGGGCACTGGGACCCAGCACTGAGCCCAGCAGGACCAGCCATGTGCACCCCTGGGCCCTGGCCAGGCAGAGAGCTGCTCTGTGCCCCATAGCAGTGGGGTCCCGAGGCACAATAGCTGGTTGGAACTGGATGATATTTAAGGTCCCTTACAGCTCTAACCATTCTATGATTCTATGTAGACCAGGCTACAAGGACAGGAGTACGATAGCAGAGCTGGGGACCCGCAGTCAGTGCTGGGCATGGCTGGGCATGGGCACAACCACAGATGGGAGCAGCTGGCAGTGCCAGTGCACCAGGAGGAAATGCCAAGGCACCCAGATTATTGACAGCCCCACACCACCCCAGGGGAGCAGCACATACCTGCTGGATCTTGGACCAGTTCTCCTCCACTGACAGACCATTCATTGCTCCTGTGATGGCAAGGAAGCAGCCAAGGAAACATGGTGCAAAGCCCCCCTGCAAGAGAAGAGTCAGGGCACGATGCTCAGGTGCCTGTGGTGCTTGGAGCTGGGCCTGCAGCAGGGGTGGGAGGCACAGACCCAGCTTGCCTCATGCCCTGGGGCTACTCAGCCTACTGCAACCCAGCACAGAGCTATACAGAGGTATGGGAACCACCAAGGGGCCTCTGGAAGGGTCTAAGTCCAGGCGAAGGGCATCTGCTCTGCAGCCCTTTCCACCCCAGCCTGCCACTGCACTGGGGCTAGTCCTGGCCTCAGAAACTGGGGCTCAGAGAGCAGGACACAACCCGCGGCTGTCCGCAACATGTGGCTGCACCAGCTGCCCTGTCCCACTGCACCAGCCGCACACAGGCATATTAACCCACATGGCACTTACCTGGTCCAGGACCATCTTCTTCACAGCCACAACTTTTGTTGTCCCTGGGATGAGCTGATCCAGGATCTTGTACCAGCCACCCACAACAGGACCCTGCAGCAGCCAGGTGTGAGGGGCAGTGTCCTGCCCTGCCAGGTCACAGGGCATCGGGGCTGGGGGGATCTCCAGAGCTGGTTACGTGGCCCTGCCCCAGGCCTGGAACACAGGGACGGGCCCTGCCCTGCTCCACACTGCCATGGGGCAGCCCCCCTGCATCACACAGATGCAGTGGTGCCCACAGCCTCCCTCCTCTCCCAAAGCACTCTGCCAGGCAGCACCAGGGCCTGCTCCAGCAGGACAGGTGCAGGGCTTCATGCCCAAGACACCAGGCAGGGCTCCGTGGTGGGGACCTGGCTGTGCCAGTGCTACCCAGGGACCCCCCTGCCCAAGCCACCAGCACAGAGCACAGTGTACAGATCTGCCCCCCGAGCACAAGAGCTGATGGCTCAGGATCCAGCCTCATCATACCCAGCAGAGCAAAGCATGTTTGCACCCCTGGCTCTGGTGTCACCCTCTTGCCCAGTGAAACCTCCGAGGGGCTGGCACCAGCAGTGGGAATGGACAGGGGTGCCCAGGCTGCACGGACAGAGGCTGCTGACCCCATCCTGCAGCAGGGTACAGAGATGGGGTGCTCCTCCTCAAGGGGACCCAGCTCTGCCTGTGGCTGCTGGAGGCCCAATTCACACCAAAGCACTGTTGTCTCACCTGCCAAAACAGCCCTCCATCCCACTCCACCATGCATGCGTTACTGAACCCATGCTGGCACTCACCACAAAGCAGAAGCCGATCACCATCATCTTCAGGGTCCGGGAGCCGTGGTGCCCCTGCAGCCCTCTCTGCTCCACCACCTGCTGCGCGATCACATCACCAGCTCCCATGAGGAGCCCTGCAACCAGCACAGCCCGCTCAGCAGCAAGACCCCACAGCGCCCTGCTGACAGTGGGTCCTGCCCCTGCCTTCCTGCAGCACCACTGCCCGTGCCTGCCCTGCGGCACAGGCCCTCCTGCAGCAGCCAAGTGCCTCGTGCTGCTCTCTGTATGTCTCTGGCTAAAACTGTGGGGCTGTGCCACCTCCCCATGGCCCTGACATGGGGCTGATCCATCACCCCATGATCTAGAGCCAGCTGTGCCTGCGGCTTTTGGGGTAGAGCCCACCAGGCTGCTGCCGGTGCTGCTGGCACAGCTCCTTGCCTTGTTTTCCATATCAGTGTGAGGGACCTTCTGCTGTGCGCGTCCCCTGCGGGCTGCTGCTCAGCTGGTCCTTTGGCAGCTCCTGCTCCATCCTACACTCTTGACCTCTTCGACGCAACTCAGCTGGCCCTGTGCTCCTTCCCCTGGCCTTTGTGGGCTCTCTGCTTATTCCCCTGCTCCTCCCAGGATGGTTCCCAGGCATACCTCCAGCCCTGCTGTGATTTTGCTCCATTCTTGGAAACCCTGAACCTAGCAAGACTTCATCTTGGGTAGCGCCAGCCCCAGCATCCCCCCTCTTCCTGCCAGCCCCAGCTGTGCTGCCAGCCTAAAGCCAGCCCTGCCCAGAGGGTCCCCGTGGGCGAATCCTCATGGGCAAAGGGTGGCAGGGCCCCAGGTGCATCACCAGGAACACCCAGCCCTCCCTCCCAGAGCCATTGGTCTCTGACAGTCCCCAGCTGTGCCATGGGGAGCAGGTCCCAGCCAAAGGGAACAGACTCTGAGCTTCCTGCGGGCAACATCCAAAGCCAGCAAGCAGGAGGGGAGAGGTTCGGGCCTCTTGCCCCAGCCACGTGGACCAGGGACGCAGCATGGCTCCTGGGAGCCTTCAGGCAGGAGCTAGACCTGGCCCAGCATGGCTGCAATGGCCAGTAGAGTCTGGAGGCAGCCCAGGAGGCTGGGCAGGAATCGGGACCTCAGCCAAGGCCATCCAGGCTGGCCATGCCCCAGAAGGGCTGGCCCGGTCTCTGCAGCCCCACGGAGCTGCTGCGCTCCTGGCAGCATCTCCTGCCATTTCATCACCAGTTCCATCTCCCACCCTGGACCAATGCAGTCCCCAGGGGCTCCAGCTCTGCTGCTGGACCCGAAGAGCTGCTGCACTGCTCCGTGATGGCAGAGCAGCCCCTGCCAGACCACGGGCCTCGGCAGTGCAGGGGCAGGGGGGAAGCATGCGAGGGACCCCCAGCCAGCATGACAGAAGGTCTGTGACTGCCTGCTGGCTGCTTTCTGTGGGCAGCCTTCCCACTAGGCACAGTCAGGCTCCCCCCGCTCAGCACTCATTGAGAAAGCGCAGCGGCAGCACCAGCGTTACTCATTCAGTACCGAAGACTCCGGGCGCGGTGCCTGGTGGTGACGAAGCAGCACCAGGGATGCTGGGGGTGGGTGGACAGGGACAGGCTTGTCTGCACCCCTGCCTGGGCCTGCGAGTGCAGCCAGAGCAAGGCCCTTGCAATGACACCACTCACCCGGGATGGCACTCACAGTGCCACTCACACCTGCTGCAGCTCTGGTGTGGGGCTGAAGCCCCCACTGCAGCCCACACCATGACCACCAGAACCGGCCCCTGCTGACCCTGCTGCCACCGCTATGTCCCACCCCAGGCTGGGAAGAACCAGCATGCACAGCAGCGCTGGACGCAGCCGGTGAGAAGGGCAAGGGCTCCCCGCCTTGTGCTGCCCAAGCTGCAAGGAGGCAATTCCTCACCTGCTCAGTGCACAGCAGTGCCAGGGGCAGGCAGGAGGCAGCAAACAGCCCCTGCCAGGCCGATCGCACTGGTTGCTGTTCCCACAGGCAGAGGACTTTGAAACGGGCCCAAGCCTAAGTAGGCCACACTGTCTGTGTTCCCTGCGGGCCTCGCCGGCTGGTTGCTGGAGCCTGCACAGCCACACCACAGGAGCACAGGGCTGCTCGCGGCAGGCAGGGACAGCAAGGTCACTGCTGCGGGCACGTGCTGCTGCCTGCTGTGCCCAGACCCTGCTGGCTTCCTGGCCTGGGGCCTGGGATGCAAGAGGCAAAACCCTGCTTGACCCAGCAGCTCTCACCAGCAGGTAGGGCAGCAATTCGGCAGGCGAGCACAGCCGGACACACCACGCACATTCAACGGCCAGCAAACCTCCTTGGCCTGGCCCCAGCTGGCAGAAGAGCAGCACTGGGGGCTCCATGAGCAGTGAATGAGGACAGCGCTGGAGGAGGCTGGGATCTGCCCAGCGTGGGGCCCAGGGCAACCTGCCTCTGCTACATGGAGCAGGGTACAGACAACAGTGAGCTGAGTTTGGCCTCAGATGGGCTAATTCCTTGCTGGAACTATAAGGACAGCAGGAAAGCTCAGCCAGGGGCAGGGCTGCCCTGACCCCAGAGGAACACCATCACAGCCTTGCGTTGGGGCTGGGCCTCGGTACCCACTGCAGGTATGGAGACATGCAGACCCAAAGGCAGAGCTGCTGTTCAGTTACAGCAGCTAAATCCAGCGCTGGGCACAGCCCCATGCTCCTGAGGGCTGCCAAGGGCCCGAGGAATTGGAGGTCTGCACCTCAGCAGGGCCGCTCCAACCCAAAACAGCAACAGGCAGAGCTGGAGCCTCAAGCCAGCCTAGAGCTGCACTAAGCCTGATGCAGCAGCAGGCAGGGCCTGCCGGCGAGGCTCCCACCTTCACCTTGGCCTCCCCCCAGGAATCGAGAGGGATGCGCAGCCTGGCCACGCACAGTGCAGGGGGTGCCAGGCCACAGACGCCATCAAATCAGATAAAAATAACCACAGAACAGTGAGGTGGCCTGGCAGGACCCCAGGCAGCCTGGCAGGCAGGGCAACGTGCTATCATCCCCATGGGCAGCCTGGAGGAGAGGCAGTGGCTGCATGGTGAGGGAAGCACCCCAGCACCCCTACACTGGCACAGCAGGGCACCCCCAGACCCCACAGACTGTGCTTCCCCCATGTCCTAGGCTGATGGGGGAGCAGTGTCAGCAGGGAAAGCTGCGAGCAGAGGGTGCAGAAGGGAGCATGCAGGGACCCTACTCCTGGTCACCCCATGCTGCAGCCCCCTGCATGGCTGGGGTGTGCAGAGGGGAAGCTGAGGTGGCTGTTGCTCAGGAATGGAAGCCCTGTGATGCCTTCGCTGGAGACTATCCCTAGGGCACATGGAACAGGGTGACGGTGCTGGGGCAGATTTATGGCACCTTCCAGCCCTGCAAGCAGCAACACCAGTAAGGAGATTACATCACCCGTGTAGAGGCCCAGGAGCCTGTCAGGGGCTCAGCTCTCTCCAGGCAGCAGCTCTATATCTGACTCAAGCCAGCCAGAGCCTCCACCTTCGCCAGCCCACCTGGGGGAGGCTTGGCCACATGCTGTGCTGGCTGAGCCCTTAGGCACAGTCTGCAGCCCACTGAATCCCCTCAGGAGCAACGTCCCAGCTTCCATTCCCACTCAGGGGCAACAAGGCTGCCAATGCAACCTCTACCCTCCGTTCTGGGGCAAGTTCTCGAATTGTGGGACGCTGCACTAGGGCTGCGCCTCCTCACAGCCCCGCACCAGCCCTCCTGGCTCCAGTGCAGAGCCCCCTGCAGCCGATGTCCTGAGCCTGAAGAGGACCAGAGCTTTTCGCTCAGTCGGACCCACGGCGGGCCTCTGCTCCCCGCTGAGCCTGGGGGAACGGCAGCATCTCCTCCCCCCGAACACGGACCCCATAGGCACTGGGACCGCCCCGACGCCCGCGGTGTTCCTCCCACCGAGGGTACAGTGCCCACAACAGCAGGGCAACGGGGCCTCGGGCGACAGCGTCGGGGGGCTGCGCACCGCAGAGGGTGCGGAGGGGCTCCGGCTCGCAGGGCCGGCCCTTACCGGCGGTGAGCGCCTGCGCTGCCCCCGGCCGCCGCGTCAGCAGCCGCCCGCAGCCCCTCCACAGCGCCGCCATGGCCCGCGGCGCGGCGAGACGACGAGGAGTCGCGGGTGAGTGACGCGTTTATTGTGTCAGTACCGGCCCAGCACCGTGGCCAGCAGCGCCATCCGCATGTACATCCCGTTCTCCGCCTGCCGGAAGTACGCGGCGCGCGGGTCCGAGTCTACCTCCACGCTGCGAGAGCGGCGTCAGCACGGAGACAGCAGGCACAGAGCACAGAGCACACACACAGAACATACACAGAGCACACACAGAGCACAGAACATACACAGAACATAGAGCACACACAGAACATACACAGAGCACACACAGAGCACAGAGCACACACAGAGCACAGAACATACACAGAACATACACAGAGCACAGAACATACACAGAACATACACAGAGCACACACAGAGCACAGTACACAGAACACACACAGAGCACAGAGCACACACAGAACATACAGCACACACAGAGCACAGAACATACACAGAGCACACACAGAGCACTCACACACAGCACAGACCCCCGCACCCTGAGACCCCCCAGACTCCCAGACACGCTGCCTCCAGCACACCCCATTCCCCATCACCCCACGACCTCCCAACCACTGCCCAACACTGTAGCCCCAGCTCCCCCAAACTCCCAATCCCACCTCCCAACCCCAACACCGCAGCCCGCATCATCCCAGGATCACCCCCCTTCTGCCCAGCACACGCCATCCCCCATCACTCCAAGACCCACAACCCAGCAAACCCCAGCTGCAGCTCCCCCAACCCTCCCCTGGCCCCCACACCACAGCCCACATTGCTGCAGGACCCCCCAACACTGCCCAGAACACCCCATCCCTGCACCCCTGCTGCCCTGCTTGTACCTGATCTCATTGACGCGGGGCAGAGGGTGCATCACCACCATCTTCTCTTTGGCCCGGGTCATGATGTGGGGTGTGAGGATGAACTGCCCAAAACACTGTGTGGGGAGGGCATGGGGGCAGCTCTGAGCCCAGGCCACAGAGCCACCACCCCATGGGCTGCCACCTCCTGCCAGAGTACCCCCCACCCCTCTCACTCACAGCTTCATACTCCTCAGCCACACGGAAGCGCTCCTTCTGGATGCGGGTCATGTAGAGCACATCCGTGTCTGGCAGCGCCTCCTCGATGCTCCCAAACTCCTCCTGGAGAGGCACTGTCAGCAGGTCCATGGGGGGGTGTGGCCCAAACCCCCCCCACCCCACTTGCTCACCTGCTTGATGCCCTTGGAGGCCACAAAGCTGGTGATGTCGGTGGGCATACGGAGGCCAGGGGGAGTCACGTAGCGGAGGTTGACACGGTACTGGGTGAGCAGGCGGGCCAGGGAGTGCACCGTGCGCCCATGCTTCAGGTCACCCACCATGGTGATCTGCGGAGAGCGGTCAGCCTGACCTGTGGTCCCCAACAGCCCCACCCGCCCCAGAAAATGACCTTTTAGCCCCACAGCACTTTGGGGGGGCTGCCATGGCTCCCAGTGCCGTACCGTCATGCCATTGACAGTGCCCAGCTCCTCACGGATGGTGAAAATGTCCAGCAGTGCCTGTGTGGGGTGCTCCCCTACCCCATCCCCGGCGTTGATCACAGGCTTGCGGCAGTGCTTCGCGGCCAGCTGGGAGCACAGGCAGGACTGAGCACAGGCACAACATGGCCCCCACCAGCCCCACACAGGGCAGGATCTGGCACTTGCCCCTGGCACCTGTCCAGCCTGCCCCACCGGGAAAAACCACAGCCCTGCCCCAAAGCACAGGTCCCCACCATCAGGGAATGTCCTCCAAGTGCCTTCAGGGTAGGATGTGGCTGCCCTCACTGCAGGCAGCAGACAGCCCCACCAACCCCATTCACCTCAACAGCGCCTGGCTGGGGGTGCCGCAGCACCAGCACGTCAGCATAGCAGCACATGGTCTGCACGGAGTCAGCCAGCGACTCGCCCTTCTGCACCGAGGAAGTGGCCTCCGAGAAGGACAAGACAGAGCCGCCCAGACGGCTCATGGCAGCTGCGAAGGAGCTGCTGGTCCTTGTGCTCGCCTCGTAGAACATGGATGCCATCACCTTGCCCTGTGGGGGCCACACCATCATCACAGGGCTCTCACAGCATTGCCTGGCGTGGCCAGGGGTCTGGGCAACCTCCCCACACCTGGCTCACCTTGAGGATGTCCAGGCTCCGCTCCTTCTGCACCAGCATGCGCAGGGTGTGTGCCACATTGAAGAGATGCGACATCTGTGGGGAGAAGAGGCTCAGCCAGGGCATGGCCAGCACCAGTGCCCCTGACCCATGCTCATCTGGGCACCCATGGCCCTGCTCCTGCTATCAAGCCCAGGCACCTGCTCCTTGGAGAACTGCTGGACGGAGAGGACGTGCTGCCCGACAAGGGGGTGCAGCAGTGGGGATGTCTGGAAGTGGGGCATGCCCTGGGGGGATGCCTGGCGCGGGATGGAGCCTGGTGGGTAGAAGTAGTTGTCCTGGATCACAGCCAGATCTGTAGCACCGAGAAGAGCAGGTCAGCCCACGGGGGTAGTCACACAGAGCCCCAGCACACGCAGCCACCGTGGATCCACGGAGCACTCACCTGCCTCTGCCACCTTCCTGCCAGCCTTCTCACGGGTGTCCTCGGCTGGGTGGGAGAGGGAGCAGTGGCATTAGAGGGTGTGGGCAGTTGCGGCACCCTGGCTACTGCTCTCCCATGGTGCTGCCAGGATGGCACAGCCCTCCTGGCACTCGGCAGCACTGTGTGAAAGCACCATGGGGCCCAACGCCAGGGTCACAGCCACCCAGAGATGGGGTAGGCCAAGACCCAGCATGGCACTGCGCCCCACTCCCCGTGAGCCCCACAAAACATGATCGGACGCAACCCAAATCACACTGGCAGGCGAGGGGTCCCCGAGGTGCCGTGCGGGCTGGGTGAGGGGAGCAGGCAGGCACAGCCATGTCCTGCCCCACAGTGCGCTGTCCCATTACACTGTTGGACACTGCGTGCGCGGGCAGCCCGGGGCCAACACGGCACCTGGGGGAGGGGATGCACTCATCAGCTGCGGTTAGTGCCATTAGTACAGCCACGTTTCATTGTCAGAGTGAGTCCCCCCTCCGATATTACCGGTGCCTCGGGCGCCCGGGCGGTGCACAGCTCCCAGCCTCCGGAACACTGAACAGGACACAAGGGCTGCATCAGCGGGGCCGTCCAGCTGCGGCCCCAGACCCCGCCCTAGGGCGGCACACGCTTGCTGCCCCGCTGCCCACCCACTGCGCTCCGCTGTGCCGTGACAGTGACATCCCCCTCCTTACCTGGCAGCCCTGGGTCAGAGGCCCGATGGATGCGGGGCGGGAGGTGGAAGCGCCCATCACCTGTGGGGCCAGCCCGGCGAGGGCTGGAGGCTCGGCCACGCAACATCTCACCAGCCACCACGTGACGGGGCCGCTCGGGGGTCTGCAGTAAGAGACTGAGCTGGAGCTGGGGCAGAGCATGGAGCCCCTCACCTGCCCCACACACCCCAGTACCTTTGCACTCTCCTTGGTGGGGGCTGCATGCGGTGGCAGCACAGTGCCCGAGGGCCATTTCTTCACATCCTGCCCATAGCCTGGGGGCACTAGCACCTGCAGCCATGGGGGTGATGGGGTCAGTACTTAGGGACCCCAGGGCTGGGGGACCACACTGATACAGGCAGATGCTCACATGGAGTCTTACCTGCCCGTCAATGTAAGCGACCTCCCCACGCAGAACCACCCTACGCACCGTCCCCTTCACTTTCATACCCTCAAAGGGTGTCCAGCGGGCCTTGGAGAAGGCCATGCAGCTGGGGATGATCCACTCGTGCTCCAAGTCCACCTGAAAGGACAGCAGGTCAGAAGTAGCAGGGCTAGGCCTAGGGCTGGATCTGGGGTGGGCATGCAGGGACCCACCTCCACATAGGTGTCCTCCTGTGCTGGCAGCCTGAAGATCTTGCGGGGGTTCTCATAGAGGCGTTGGATGATGTCTTCCACAGTGAGCCGCCCCTCAGAGACGGCCGTCAGCAGCAGGGGCAGCATTGTCTCCAGGCCGGGGAAGCCAGGGGGTGGCTCAGGGCCCTGCTTCTCTTCCAGCGTGTGGGGGGCTGTGGGGCAGGCCTAGTCATTGCAGGACCTGCTGCTGTCCCCATCCCATGCTCCCACGCCATGGCTGCCACACCCCAGGGCTCACCATGGTCTGTTGCGAAGCAGTCGATGGTGTCCATGTTCTCCCAGAGAGTCTCCATGTCCTGGCGGGTGCCCAGCGCTGGCCGCACAGCTGCTCGGCCCTCCCCGAGGCGCCCCAGGTCATCCCGGCACAGGAAGAGATGGTGTGGGGCCACCTCACATGTCACCGGGATCCCCTTCTGCTTGGCTGCCTTGATGAGGAGGATCTGCGGGAGAAGCAGTGAGGGGGGACCCCAGACAGCCCCACACCCTGTCACTGGGGCTCACAATCCCCCCACTGCACCCCACCGCTCACCTCCTCCCTGCGGGCCACGTGGCAGATGTGCACAGGGCGCTGGTACAGCTGGGCCACCATCAGGACAGCGGCCACTGTCTGCCGCTCCGCATGTGCCACGATGGGCAGGTGCCGTGGCCACTGCTCGAAATGCTGGGGGGGGGGACAGAGTTGCTGGGCATCACCACCAGGAACAGGGTCCAGCCCCGTGGCAGCCCCTGCCTGTGGTGGCTCACCTCCATCCACAGTGACACGTCGTCCATCCGCAGGTTGGAGAAGGTGTCGTTCAGGTACATCTTGAGCCCGGCGGCTGCCCTGGCCAGCGGTCCCAGCAAGCTGGCATTGTCCAAGGAAGCCCCCAGGAAGAGGGCAAAGTCACAGCGGGCCCCAGCCTCGGCCAGCTGCAGGGTTGAGAGGTGGTGAGTGCCAGCCAGGGTCAGTCCCACTGCAGGCAGTGAGTGCACCACATTTGGCACTGCAGCACCCAGACAGGGCACATGGGCAGCCCCTCACCTTCTGCACCAGGGTGAAGGAGGTGGCGTCAGTGATAGCAGGGCTGGTGTTGGGCATGGCACACACCATGGTGACACCCCCA